TCTATACATATGTGCTCCCAAGACATAGTTCTATTGTTAGAGCAGTGACAATGGCAAACAGAGAAGAGCCCTGGAATTAGTGACCCAAAAGCTCTGAATGTAAAGCTTTGGTTTTTACATAGGGATTTAGATCTAATATTTCATCATTTCTCCTAACAAGTAATCCAGTCCTGTTAGTAAGGTAAGAGCAGCTATCAAGCAATACATGATAGCTATTTCAGATAAATCAAACCATTTTAATCCTTTAACATGCTCATTTCCTATATATTTTCAGCTTGTACACAAGCTGTCTTTAGGCATAATCCCAATTCAGCATGCTTTGAGCCACTTCAGTTCAAACCTTCCAGGTATGAGCACAGAAGCTTTCTCATCACACCACCGATTGTCCAGGGCCTCACCCTCCTTTTCTTGGTGTTTAAGGGCATGGAGAAATATGGAGGAGGGGATGTCCATTCACAAGTGTTAGTTGGGACAGATGGCTCATTTCTGAGTGTTCAGTGTTGCTGGAGATAAGAGGGTTACATCCAGATCCCAAATGGCCTTCAAGACCTCCATTATTGTCTTTGTGGTTAGGATGACCATGCTGCCTAGTTTGTTCAAGACATTCCAGTTCATGCTATTGTCCCTGTTGTCCTAATATAATTGGTGCCCTTATCACTCTCAAGTGTCCCCGTTTGGGCAATAAATTATGTGGTGGCCATGTTTATGGTAGAACTTTGCCAAATCCATCCACTTGGGCTGTTTTCCTTTATCAACTTCCTGGATCCCTGTTCTGCCTACTTTATGATTAACCTCCTTTCCTCTTCTCCTGACCTTGCTGACCCCAAATCTTCATCTCCAGGATTTCTTTTCTTCTTCTCTTCATGATGCAGAAAGTAAACTTTAGACCCAGACAATACTGATATGCAACCTGCACAGAGGGTCAGCATACATAGTTTGGATGGTCTGGTGCCATCGTAATTAATTATTCTAAAACCATCCCTGATCCAGAGCCCATCAACAAAGGAGTCTCTCAGACTTACTAAATCAGTCTATCATGGCAGATGGGGCTCAATCATGTACTTTTCCAGAGCTCCACAGGTGATTCTCACAGGGGTCACTGTGTAGTCCTGGCTCCATATGTACCAGGCACCTCACATGTCATCTCACTTAATCATTATAATCCCAGAGGGGCAACATAGTGTGTAGTAGTTAGGAGCACAAGGTTTTAAAAATAACGTACTAAGGCAGCAATTTTTCAACCAGTGTGCTGCAAGAATTTTTTTAAAACATGTAATACCTATTTAGTCAGGGGCACTGAACTCTTCCTTTAGATTGTCAAATAAAAATGTGACAACAGCCAGTACAATAGCCATCCAATGTGAATGCCCTGTCTTGAACCATAAATATATAGGTCATATAATAGAGCTGCATCTTATTGGTCACATTGCATAATAAGGTTGCATCTGATTAATTCTTGGTATCAGAAATTTTCATATACAAGTATAGGCACCTGATTTTTTAAAAAATTTGTTTGAATACTGTGTTAAAATGCTTTATTATTTTTTCTTTATTAAGGTATTACCTATGTGTCCTTATCTCTCCATTGCCCTCCACCCCCCTGCTCGTGCCCTCACCCCCCTAGTGTCTGTGTCCATTGGTTATGCTTACATGCATGCATACAAGTCCTTTGATTGATCTCTCCCCCTTACCCCCACCCTCCCCTGCCTTCCCTCTGAGGTTTGACAGTCTGATTGATGCTTCTCTGTCTGTTTTTGTTCATCAGTTTATGTTGTTCATTATATTCCATAAATGGGTGAGATCATATGATATTTATCTTTCTCTAACTTATTTTGCTTAGCATAATGCTCTCCAGGTCCATCCATGCTGTTGCAAATGGTAAGAGTTCCTTCTTTTTTACAGCAGCATAGTATTCCATCATGTAGATGTACCAGTTTTCTAATCCACTCATCTACTGATGGGCACATAGGCTGTTTCCAAATCTTAACTATTGTAAATTGTGCTGCTATGAACATAGGGATGCATATATCCTTTCTTATTGGTGTTTCCAGTTTCTTGGGATATATTCCTAGAAGTGGGATCACTGGGTCAAATGGGAGTCCATTTTTAGTTTTTTGAGGAAACTCCAAACTGTTCTGCACAGTGGCTGCACCAGTCTGCATTCCATCAGCAGTGCACAAGGGTTCCTTTTTCTCCACATCCTCAATAGCACCTGTCATTTGTTGATTTGTTGATGATAGCCATTCTGACAGGTGTGAGATGGTACCTCATTGTTGTTTTGATTTGTATCTCTTGGATGATTAGTGACTTTGAGCATGTTTTCATGTCTCTTGGACTTCTGTATGTCCTCTTTCAAAAAGTATTTATTTAGGTCCATTTCCCATTATTTTTATGGGATTGTTTATCTTCCTTTTGTTAAGTTGTATGAGTTCCCTGTAAATGTTGGAGATTAAACCCTTATCGGTGATAACATTTGCAAATATGTTCTCCCATGCAGTGGGCTTTCTTGTTTTGTTGATGGTTTCTTTTGCCGTGCAGTTTTTTATTTTTATGTAGTCCCATTTATTTATTTTCTCTTTAGTTTCCATTGCCCTAGGACAGGGGTGGGCAACCCCTGGCACGCGTGCCAAACATGGCACACCAGTAACTTTTGCTGGCACGCAAAACCCTCTCTTATAATCTTCCATCTACAATTTTTGTGAACATTTATATGACTTAAATGTTAAATTACAAGGAACTGGCAAGACACTTGATGTTTGGTTACATAAAGGCTTTTGAAAAGAAACTGGAAGTCTTTAAGAGGCATGTGGATGGTGAGAGATTTAGATATTTCCCAAACCTCACGAGGCACATCAAAGACCTCCCAAAGATGACAGAACAGACTGTCAAAGCCTTCAAAAGCTATTTTTAAACATCATCGAGTCAACTATTGAGTTCTCAAGATTTATGAAATTCAGAGAAATGGAAGAGACAGCAAAATTTATGAGGTTTCCAGACAGCATGAAACTGGAGGAACTAAACTTACAAATGTTTTCATGGATAGACATGGCTGACTTTGAAATGCAGTTGATTGAATTTCAGAGTAGCTCAGTTTGGAAGCAGAAATTTATTGACCTTAGAGTTGACTTGGAAAACATTGAAAAAAAGCAATTAGAGACAGGAGTACCAGAGAGAAGTGTCAAAAACGAACTATTGAGGACTTGGAATGCCATTCCAGAAAATTTTTTGTTTAAAAAATTTTGCAACAGCGTTACTCTCCATGTTTTCATCCACATACACTTGTGGATCTTTGTTCTCAGTGATGAATGTTGTTAAGCCTCGTAATAGGCGTAGCCTGATGGATGAAAGTAGTAGCTCGTGCATATCTCTGAAGGTCCTGAAATATAAACCTGATGTAAAATCTCTGTCAACAGTGATGCAGCAGCAAAAGTCCCACTGATAATATCAAACAGAGTCATAAAGTTTTCTATCAGTGTACATGTATACATTAAAAAATAAATGTATTTTTCATCATCATATACTGTTTTTGTCGCTCAAATGAATTTTATTATTTCTTCAAGGTTCTTCACATACGTACACTTTAAGAGATATCAAGTAGGCGTAACATGTTCTCAAAAACTTAGGGTTGGCACACAGAAGAATTTTGAGTCAGAGATTTTGCTGGTTTTGGCACGCACTCACAAAAAGTTTGCCCACTCCTGCCCTAGGAGCTGTATAGGTGAAGATATTGCTTTGGCATATGTCTGAGATTTTGCTGCCTATGGATTCCTCTAAGATTTTTATGGCTTCCCGTCTTACGTTTAAATCCTTTAACCATTCTGAGTTTATTTTTATGTAAGGTGTAAGTTAGCACCTGATTTTTAAAGTCACATTGGAGCAAAAAGGGTAGGTGATTACTTAATTTTTATAAATCAATCAAAATTAAACCAATTTTTCTTGTCTGATCAGGAAAAAATATATTTTTTGGGTTTGCCACAGAATTTTAGTAATTAGTTTATGTGTGCCATAAGATGAAGAGTGAAAATCATCATACTAGAGTTTAAATGAAGGTTCCAACACTTAGGAGGGTAGCTTTGAAAGGTTACTTTAGATCTCTGTTTCAATTTTCCCTGTAAAATGTGGTTAACAGTATTTATTCTCGACCTGTGGTAAATATTAAGCAAGCTAATACATATAAAGTACCTAGATCAGTGCCTAGTACAAGAATTGCTTTTAAGATGTTAGCAAGTATTACCTTTTTTACAGTCAAGGACATTTCCACGATCACATGGCTAGTGGTGTTGCTGAGATCTATAGGCAGGTTTTCTGGGTCTAACTCTACTCTTTCTGTGATACCACTACTACCCAAACACTCTCCTATAGGTAATAAAAAACAGGAATAGGCCAATGAATGATATGGGAAGTACTTTATTTTATCATGTGACACCACATAACAGCCACATTTTTACAGCTGCCCAACCACAGTATAGATTTGAATAGGAAAAATGGCTCAGAAATAGCAGTATTAGTGATTCAAGTATTGATCTTTATTTGATAAAGGATAGCAGTTTTGATGATTGATTTACCAGAGTTTTAAAATGTAATTTTATACTGAATCTTTTCTTAAAAAGAACTATTTTTAATTAAACTAGGTATAGTCACATAATGAAACCACATTTAAAAACATGCTTAAAATTCCCATCTGTCAATTTTGCTCTTAGTATTAAAAATGCCTAATTCCAAAATCATGCTGAAGGTCTCAGCATCTCTTACACTATTTCTAAGGGACTAACTGGGAGGTAATGAATGTCTATCTTCCTTCAGAAAGACAGTGATAACCTGGAATTTTTCTTACCATATTTCCCAATATACACCTTATGCCCTTTTGAGATATGCTTCTTATTGGCGCAGCAGAAAAATACAACAGGATTATGAAAACCTAAATTCTAAGCCAAGGTCATAATTGTAAATAGGTCATGAAACTTCCTTAGGACTCTGTTCTCCACTGCAAAAGAAAGTCATATTTGTTATCTTTTATTATTTTTATCTTCACAGTAACCCATAGAGTTAAGACAGCATTACAATCATTTATAGAGGAAATCATTCTCAAAGAGGTTACACAATCCAGCCAAAATCTCACATGTAATAACATAACAGAGTTGAACTTAATACAATTTTGCTCAAGACCCTAGTACTAGTATGTGTTGTGCTCATAAATTTGTTAAATGCAGCAACAATTTCCCAGGTCCCTTCCAATGATCACATTTTATGCTTCCACTTGCTATTTTCTTTCAACCAGCATTTAAATGAGAAAATATGTATATCTGGTCACCAAATTTATCATGGTTCTTTGATTTAACCATTCTTAAAAATTTTCTTGTATTTTCACAGTAAATCCAAAGTTTTCTTTTCTTTTTTTTTTTTTTTCAGATGACTTCCACTACTGCCTGCCTCTATGAAAGCTCTTGGACTTACCTGTTTGCTTGTCAAAGTACAGATTTGCTAAAATTTTAAAACATTCTTTTTTATAATCTTAAGTTATTTCAAAATAAAATTTTAAAAAGGCCTTACTAATTCTTATTCCCTGTAGTAATAAAAATGTATTTTCTATTGGTTTTGTATCCAGTTTCCTGTCTGCCTTTAGTTGGGAAATACTGTTGTTCTACCTCACTGTCAAGCCTCCCTTTCCCTAACAAGAAAATGTCAGTCATAAGAGTCAGGAAAGCTCTTACTTTCACTATTCCATAGGAAGAATAAACTAACCACCTGAATTGGAAAGTTAAACTTTAAGTGTCAAATAAGGGATTCAGGACATTTCCTAAGAGGTCATATGACCAGCTTAAATGCTGATATGCTTAAAATAACACTTAAAATTAACTCTTTTATGTGCAATAAATTTATATACCTGCTAGTTAGTCATGCTGATATTACACCCGAATACATACATGCCTAAACCAAATTAAAATTGAAAACAAAATTTACTCTATCAGCAGAGATCAATAAATAGGATGCACTCATAAGGAGGGAGCTTTAAACATTCAGTAATTTATATAATTTAATATGCTAAAAATGAGAAAATAAACAGGGCATGGGGATAGGAAAAGTAATTCCAACAGTTCCTTCATTTTGATTGAATTGCTTTCTTGCCTTCAGGAGGGAAGATTTTGACTTCAAAAGTAACGAAATATTTGAGAACAGAATTTACATCTTTCTGTTCTAGATGGTATTCTTTTGCTATTTTCTCAGCAGTCCATTTATCTGGATAAAGTTTATGATTATTGAGAAGTGTCAAAGCCTCTACAATGGAAACTTTGCCTTTGGGAATGTTCTCAATATTTATGTCAAAATGATTGCCTTTCGGCAATCTGAACTCCTTTGGCTCTTGAGGTGTTCCAGCATCTTTGTCCTAGTGTCAAAAGACAAAAACAAACAAAAAGGTTTTCAAGATGAGAGAAAAGATTTGACATCTACAGACATGCTTCTCAAATCTCCACTATTCTCCTTCAAGTAAATACTACACATGCTTCTCCAAACTACATTTTCTCATTATGATGAGCCACAGTTCAATGGCAATCACATCATCATTTAATCACTATAGCTCAACCATCATGAAGAAATCCAGGTAATTCTAGAAAATAATACTCGAATGTATACCATCTATTCCCATTATTTCATTTGTATATTAAAAGGACAATTGGATTAGGTTAAGACTGCTTTAGAAGGGCAGGACTCTGACACTGACCTAAGTTTACTTGATGATCTCCATTCTGATTCTAAGTTTTGCATTTCATATTCAATGCCTCCAAACATGAGTAATGAATTTAAATATTGCCAGAGATTTTCCCTCTTCAGAGAAAATAAACAAATGCTTTTAATACTCCAACAAACATAAATAAAACATTTTATGCACACCCATCTTTTCACCTGTCTGTACAGTAAAACCTCGCTATAACAGGCTAATTTGGGTGAGGAGGTGTCTGTTAAAGCCGAAAGTCCATTATACAGTAAAGTAGGTTTTCTGAATACGAATGTTAAAAAATTGACAAATTAGTTTACCTATTTTAACTTATGTAGACATGTGTAATTTAAATTAAGTATGTATGAAAAGTTTAATTTCACAGAAAAGTTTTTTATATGTATTACTATAATTTTAAATTTATACTGAATAGGTCTAGTAAATGTGTGCATTAACCGGTCTCCTTGAGCAAACAAATGCACAGGGCTCGGGCGTGGCTTAGCTCACATGGGAACATCGGCCTTCACTCCTTAAAACTGCTACAGAAAGTCATGCCACAGACAACGGAACCATAACCTCCAGTGATGAAGTGTGATCATTTCCCGAGCTGTGACTCTTGGATTTAAATATGTAAACTACAGTTGCAGATATGTAATATTTATTTATGTCAGTGAAATTACTATAGTGTTTTTTCCAGCATATGGCCTTTTCACTAAAATTTGTTAAAAATAACAGTGAATTAATAACAAAAAAAAAGCCTATTAATTTAATTATAAGTAAATCTTGGTTAAAAGCATTTTAAAGTTAACAAGATATTAATCTTTGCATGACGTATGGACTAGAAATTTAGTCCATTAAATCAAGGCTGTACCATCCAAGCTTAATCCTTGAATTTGTGCTCTGTATTTCATTCGTTACCTACTATGCCAATCGTTCATTCCCTTTTTTCCTCTTGCTTTCACTTGTATCCTGCCTAATGCTGCTGTTTGGTCCAAATGTAAAAATGCTGTAGTCACCTTAAAAACATCCACAAACCCAAACCCAAAATATCCTTTATGACCAGTTTTTTTCCTTCTGGTTAAGCTTTACAAAAATAATTCATTTTTTTAAATTTCTAATCCATAAGACACTTTTCAGGCTTTATTTGAACTCACTAGAGCACCTGAAGCTTGGTTTCAATGCCACCCTTCTCCTAGTTTCCCATCTTTCTCTCCAGTGGCTCCTTCTTTGTTTTCTTTGTGGACACCTTCCCTTCAGCTGCCCCTTAAATGTTAGTGTGCCCCAAGTTCTGGCCTGGGCCCTCCTTTCACCCTATACTCTATTACTCTTCCTAAGTAATCCATGCCACCTTCAGTTTCATTACTACCTACATGTTAATTACTTTCAAATGTGACCTCTAACCTAGACTTTCTCCTTACTTCCAGACCCAAATTCCCAAATGCCTAATGGGCATCTTTACTTAGATAATCTACAGGCACCGCAAAATCAACATGTCTAAAACTGAATTTATCCCTTTCCTCCGAAAAGCTAATTCTAGCCCCATATTCTCTATCTCAGTGACTAACACCACCTACCTCCCATATCCCATTCCAAAATTCAAAGCTTCTCTTATGTCTTGTTACACCTGACACCTCCCTCTCCCTCACGCATAATATCCAATCAGTGACCAAATCCAATTGATACTGCCTCCTAAATCCCTCTCAAAGCCATTCACTTCTCTCCTAGTCACTAAATCACTTTAGTCCAAGCCAATGTCTCTTGAAGAAATTACTGCAAAAGCCTCTTAACTGGTATTCTCTCACGATAAAACACGTTTTGTTCTTTCCTAACCCACTCTCAAAACTGTCCTTATTAAACGCTGGCAGCCCGTCTATGTTTCTCTCTCACATCAGTGTTTCTCCCTCTCCCTTCCTCTCTCTGTAAAAAACAATAAGACAATTAATTAATTAATTTAAAAATAATTATTTGGTATATGATAGGCACAGTATCATTGATGTCTAGAGACATCACAAATGAATTGCCAAAAAGAAAAAAGGGACAAAGAACATAAATAGGTACCTTCAACCTTTTTTATCACTCTCCCTTGAACCTTTTTAGACTTTCCTAATAACCCCTTTAAATTTTAACACCCCTATATATCTCTTTATGCATTGTATCTATATATCGTGTTTTACATGTAAAATCTTTTTTTTGCTCTCCAAAAGCCAATTTTCAAATGCATGATTTAACATGAGAGAAACAACGTTTATGGAAGTATTATTCAATACCTGCCTAAAAATAACAAAGAACATGAACATCAAATCCTATTATCTTCTTTATGTGAGCATTTGGTGATACCTAAACCCAATAACTTCTACTACATGTAATAATGTACAAACTTTATTTTACACATGAGCTTTATTTTTCTTTTCTATTGAAAAGTATACTAATAACTATATCTTTGTCAGTCTATTACCTATCCAGAGAGAGACAGAACAAGAGAATTTTAGAATGGAAAAAAATCTGGAAGTTGTCACTGGCACTTGCCACTTCTTTAATCAAACTCTTCCCCTTACTTAGAAACTTCCTGCCCCCACAAACTCATCTGGTTAACTCCCATGCATCCCTCGGGTGTCAGCCTGCATGTCACTTCCTCAGAAACCATCCCTGATCCTCCAATCTCAAACAAGTCCTCCTGATACACTCACAGTGCCTATATTTCTCCTTCAGATCAGTAATTACGTACTGTAGTTGCTCATTTGTTTCATGCCTGTGTCCCTCCTGATACTATGAGCACTGTGAGAACAAGGACTAGGTTTATTTTGTTCATCACCATACACAATGCGCTTATATCTGGCATTTATATATGGATTTACACATAGGTTCCCATTCTCAATGTATTCTTCTACGTATCCTATCTGAACATATTTTTAAAAATCAAACAAACACCACCAATACACCACTAAAAGAATCCCTGAAATTAAAACATATCTCAATACACTGAAGGGTAAATCAATAAATATATTTTTATTGATTTCAGAGAGGATGGGAGAGGGAGAGAGAAACTTCAATGATAAGAATCATTGATCGGCTGCCTCCTGCACTCCTCCTGCTGGGGATAGAGCCCAAAACCCAGGCCGGTGCCCTGATGGGGAATCCAACTGTGACCTCTTGGTTCATAGGTCAAGGCTCAACCACTGACCCACGTGAGCTGGGCAAGAAAACAGTATTAAAGCTCTCCTTTGGTCATTCAAATGGACAACCAGTACAAGTACCTTGCCAAATCTTACAAATTCTGAAATGATATAAAATAATTCACACAGCTGCATTCAATCAATAGTTTCACAAATCTTTTGGAATTTTGGTAAATATCCAATGCACCGAGGCCTGTGAGCCTTGCTTAGACCCCGGGTTTAAGCTTTGCCAGTGCACTGTATTCTGGTCGCGACTCCACTGACAGGTCACAGCTGCAGAGCACCTCACTCCCTTTTACCACCTGCCACACTTCTCCGATCACCAAAAAGGTTGAATTCTTTACTGCATGAAAACACACATTACCTGCGCAGAAGACACCGGATCTCTGGAATTAACGTACACATCTCTCAGTAATGACAGCAATTTGTCATCTTTCCTACCAATTTCTCCCTTAATATCCGCTTGGCCTAAGGAAAGAAAAAGAATGTCAACAAAATGAAAACCAAGTAAGAATGCCCTCTGAGTCCCTAAACACTTAACACACGACAGTCGCTATTTGTGTTAAGAAACAATCGCTGGAGCAGCACGGAAAGTATTTTATTTTATTTATTTATTTATTTTAATTTTTTTTATTTTATTGATTTTTTACAGAGAGGAAGGGAGAGGAACAGAGAGCCAGAAACATCGATGAGAGAGAAACACCGATCAGCTGCCTCCTGCACACCCCCTACTGGGGAAGTGCCCGCAACCAAGGTACATGCCCTTGACTGGAATCGAACCTGGGACCCTTCAGTCCGCAGGCCGACGCTCTATCCACTGAGCTAAACTAGTCAGGGCCGGAAAGTATTTTAAAGCAAACCAGCACGCTAGGTCGCTCTGCGGAGACACCTGCTGAACACTTCCGCTGCCCGGGAGTCCCTGTCGCCAGCGGCCAACCGGGCGGACAAAACGCCGGCGAGGACCGCGGCGGCGGGGGCACTCGCGGGACGTCACCCCCGGGACTGCGAGGTGCGGAGCCGCCACTCCAAGGCGGGCCTCAGGGACCGGCTCAATGCCACCGGCCCGAGCTCGGTGGCCCCAGCCCCTGCGGCCCACTCGGGCCACCCCGGCCCGGGACCCACAGCCACCCGCGCGGCCCCGCCCACCACCCGCTCCGGCAGCCGCGAGCCGGCCCGCGCGCTCCGAACCCTTACCGCTCATCTGCTCCCGCAGGAGGCTCTTGGTGGAGGGGTGCCTGGGGGCGGGAGAGGGCTTCACCTTGCTGATCTCCCGGGCCGCCCGGTTCTCCAGGTTGAAGTTCCTGATCGCGCGAACCACCGCGGCCCCCATCTCTTCACAGCATGATGCCCTCAGGTTCACGCTGCACGTGGGAAACCCGGCAAGGGCGACCTCGGGACACACCGAGCATGCGCAAGGCAGGGATCGACCCGGAGAACCGGAGCTGAGCGCGCGCCGTTTGCCCCCTAGCGTTCGGGAGGGCTCACGCCGCGCCGCCGCCTCCAATGAAGCAAAAGGAGCGCCGCTCTCCGGGGCGGGGCTCACGGCGGAGGGGCGGGGCTCACGGCGGAGGGGCGGGGCTCACGGGCGGAGGGGCGGGGCTCACGGGCGGAGGGGCGGGGCTCACGGGCGGAGGGGCGGGGCTCACGGCGGAGGGGCGGGGCTCACGGGCGGAGGGGCGGGCTCAGGCTCACGCTGGTCCTACGCTGTGGAGGCGCCTGGGGACACCCGGGAAGCTTGAAAACAGTTCCAGGCCGCGCACGCTTTCCGATTTCATGCCTCTGCGGTGAGGCCCGGCATTGGCTCAAGCTTCCCACGTGATTCCAAAGTCCCAGGACGAGTAGAGGAAGTCACAGGCAATTGACCTTGAAGTCCTTTCACTGGTCCGTGCCGCGAAAGAGGAGCCAGTAGCGATGGCATTAGTTGCTCCCGGATAAAGGAAGGTTCGGAAAATGCCCTTTCCTGCCTTTGTGAGAGGAACGTCGTGAACGTGTATTCATTTTGGATGACTATTTGTTCTCTGTCATTCTTATTTAAAACCCCTTATTTTTCTGTCCCCTTACGTGGTGCATTTCTGAGCCACCGTGTTCTCTCTTGATTTTTTTACATCCCGCTGTTGTAATTCCTTTGACCTAATTTTACTGATTTCACTTATGCTGCCCTTTCTTTTCTCTTTATTTTTTATATTAATTTGCGTTATTTGTCCATACTATTAACTGCTGAGTCACCGCGTCATTCCCGTTTTTCCCTGCATTACTCCTTTCTTTTTAAGCCAGAGAAACCGTGTAACTTAATGGAAGGAACAGCCAATTAAACAGGAAAAAAACACGGGTGTTGTGTTCTCTCCCTCTCCCTTCCTTCCATTTCTGAATGGATCACTGTTGCTGATTTTATTTATTGAAGATTGCCATTAGTCCATATTAAAGAACCTACCAGGAAGTAGCAGGGTTTCCAAAGCTACAATATTTTTCACAGACTGTGGCTGCAAAGATGTTTTTGGTGTTCCCAGATATGCTCAGCAAAGTGAAGTTGATTGTGTGTTTTTTTGTTTTTTAATCGCTTAAGCACAAGAAAGAGTACAGGTAAAGATAATCGAATTGAAGTAATAATAATTTTTAAGAAAAGAATTACAGTAAAGAAAGGGCAGTTTTATTTAAAAAAAACTACTGTTATTATTAAATATACTTAATCATAACAAATGTCTTACAAGGACCCTAGCTTCCACCATTGATTATTATGAAGAGTTTTTACTGGGATTGGTATACGGTTAGTTGGTAAGTTATCCTGAAGGTGGCAGGCTACTCCAAGATTTCCATCTTTGCAACGTAAACTTGCTCCGAACTGCTTTTTAGCCCAGGTATTTATATTTCCACAGGTGCCGAGAAATTTTCATCTACCTCATTATGTCCATGAGCTTCAAAAATTATGGTAGCAATTCAAGTCATTGTCTGTTAAAATATTTTAAAAGTGAAAAACGATTTTCATGGAAATTCCACCACATTTCTGGCAGCATAAAAAGTAATGTTAGACAAAAGTGACAGGAAGTGTAGGTTGCTGTGGGGATTACCACATAAAGAATTCCTTGAATTAACCACATTTAGGTAGAGTTCGGATTAAATATTGATGGAACTTCCAGCCTATGCCAGCGGCTTTGCCTAGTTCTGGCTTGGTGCTGCTCAGGCCTGCAAAGAACCAATGACAAGGCAGAGGTACCCCACCAGAAATGCACAATTGGCTCTCACCCCTTGGGAATCATCATGGAATTAACACTTGAACCACAAATGCATAAATCCAGCTCTTCTTGTCAAAACATAAATTAAGAGGAAGTCTGAATTCAGAATCCCCCTGGGCTTAAGGGTCAAAGTCAGGTCTCCAACTAGCTTGCTGCTCAGAATTAAGCATCTGTCTGAGAGGAGTGTTATGATAGGTGCGTTTTGCTGAATACCTTAGGATACAAATAAAATAGATCCAGGGTCTTGCCAACACATTAGAATGTAAATTCTATGAGGAAAGGATTTTTTTATCCATTTTGTTTACAGCTGTATTCATCACATTGAACTGTGCTTGGTACACAATAGGAACTGAATGTCAAGTAAATCTCAAATGAACCCAAAGACAAGCAAGTCCCCTGAGGTGGAATCCAGACCTTAAACAGGTTCTCTTTGCTCAAAAATGAGTCCTTGTGAAAGTCACTGGAGACTTCCAACATTTCTTGGTAGCCAGTAATTGCATAATTTCATCCTCATATCTTCTTTGACTATGACTTTGTCTCCCTCCTTCCTTTGTAATATTCTTGTGATTACATGGATCTAACATGAATAAATCCAGAATAATCTTCCTATCTCAAGAGCCTTAATCACATCTGCAAAGTACCTTTTGCAAGTTCTTGGGATTAAGAGGTAGACATCTTTGGGGTGTGTGTGTGGGGGCGGGGACGGCGGGGGAGGGCATTGTTCTGCCCACTATAGTCATCATCTTCAGAATATTCACATATACCGATGTAGCTATGATCATGTAGTAAAAGACAGATAGAATGATGGAGAAAATGTCCAGTACAGGCAGTCCTCGGGTTACGTCGGACGACATGCGTCATTTCATGATTACGTTGCCATCTCCCATTTATTTATTAAAAAAAAAAAAAGCTCTGTTATTTCGACGTGTGTACATATGTGCTTTTTTTATTATTTATTTACCACAAGTAAAGGTCAGGAATTGTTCTCTTTCTTTTAAATTTTTTTTTTACTGTTTCACTTCGTTACTGCTGTGTATGTGCTCCATGTGAGTGACGTAGGGGCTTATGTAGGTGGGTGCCGACTTACGGCGAAAATCACGTTAAGTCGCACCGTAGGAACGGATCTCCGACGTAACCCCGAGGACCTACTGTATTCTTCATTCAGCTCCACTGAGCTTATATTCCAATGAAATTACCTAATTGTTGAAAGAATAAAACCAACCCGTTTGGGTAGTAGTACTCTTTCTCTCAGGTTTGCCTAAGAGCCATGGTAGCTCACTAGTAAATTTGACACTAATGTGCCAGGTCAGCTCTGCCCAGGGAGGCAATTCTTATGTTCCCAGCCTCTCATCTTCTCTGTATCTGAGAAGCCTCCATGAGCAAGAGTATGAATCTGCCTTGTATATAAAGCAACATGACCAGTTTCCCTAATTACAGCATCTTAGAGATGCCAGAAGTTCACCACTTGTCTTACTCTCCTTTCCACTCCATTATTTCCATCTTGGTTTAGAATTTTACAATTTCACCCACCCATTTCTTTCATTGCATTGATATTTTTCTCCTCTTTTCTGCCTATACACACTTTTAAAAGGCAGGTCCTCGTGGGGACGGCAAGCCATTTGTGGAAGAGCTTATCAGTTCTCTGAACTCTCAGACTGGAAGAAGATAGCTGTCTGAAAAGCAGGGGGAGAGAGAAGGAAAGCAGAAACAGAGATTACTGGGGGGGAAAAAACATAGAAAATGAGAGAGAAAGGAACAAAAACGTAGTCTGAGGCAGAAAGGAGCATCTAGAACTCTTAACATGGCCAATGAGGCTCCTCTCCTGCAGCTTCTCTTGTGATTCTCCTCGTACAAACTATTTAGAAATGAACAACATTGAAAGAAAGAACTATCAAAACCTGTGGAATGAGTCAAAGCAGTATTGGAAGAAAATGTGTGGGTTTCTATTGAATACATTTCTTAGAACACTAGAAAGAGTGGAGGTAAATAAGTATGAATTAAACATGTAAATCAAAACACAAGGAAAAATATCAAATTAAAAAAAATTTTTAAGGACTGATGATAAATTTTATAGAAAAACACAGTTCTTTTAAAATATACAATCTGACAAATTTAAAAATAAAGGCACAAATAAAACCCCTTAGAAATTTTTTTGGAAGGAATATGATCACAAATATAAAGTTATTTTTAATTGAGAGAAAATGATATGTACAGGTTTGTATACAACTTTGATATATGTTTCCTCCCCTTAAGTTACTTATTTCTAACCGATAGAATGTGGCAAATGTGAACAGAGTTGAGTAGAACAGAATAGAATAAGGATAGATATAGCACATAGTCGACTAGAGAGTAGACTATGGTCACGTTCATTATTAGCTCATGTTAGATAAGACTCCATCCTAGGAGATAGAAGTGAGCAATTCTCCTGTTGGTCTTGATGAAGCAAACCACCATGTTGTTACACGTCTTTCAGAAAAGCCATGTGGCAAGGAATTTCAGGGGCCTTTAGGAGATGAAAGCAGCCCCCAAGAGACAGCCAGAAAGAAACAGGTATCTCAGTCTCACAACCACAAGCGACTGAATTTTGCCAACAATCCCATGAGCCTGGAAGAGGTCTCCAAGCTCCAGAAATTAACACAGCCCAGTCAATACTGTAGAATCATTTCCATTTATTCACTAAATATATTTGGTTACATTCAGCACCCATTATTAATAATAAATTTAATCAGCTAAGACTAGAAAAAAGCTTTATTTACTTGATAAAGAGTACACATTAAAAATTATAGAAAATATCATATTAAATGGTGAAATGTTAGGAGCAACCCCAGTAAAGTCAGTGTTCTCTACTATTGGCCTTATTTAACCTTTTGCTGAAGGTCCTAGCTAATAAGAACAAGAATAGGAAGTAAGAATGATTTGTTCTTTTGCAAAATCAGTACCTTTGTCTTCCTAGAAAATTCAGGAAAATCATTGAAAGCATTTTTAGATCTTATAAAAGAATTCAATAAGCTAGCTGTCCTACACATTAGTTAGAAAACGAATGGCCAAAAAATCCCATTGATGATGACCACAAAAACTATTACGCCTCTTAAAATAAACTTCCAAAACTGCAAAACCCAAATTAAGTAAACCACAAAACTTAAGAAAATACAAAAAAGGAACACATGGCTAGATAGATGCACCAGGTTTCTTTCTTTTTTAAAATTTA